CATTCCCCTATATATGGTATTGTGGTGGGGGGTTGGGAGGGGAGGGCGTTTAGAGTGCATGTGAGAGGGCAGAGAGGGCAAAAGGGAGGGAAGGAGGGAGGAAGGGCTGGAGGGGAGGGAGGGAGGGAGGGAGGGAGAGGGAACTGGGATCGACATGTAAAATAATAAATTAAAAAAAAAAAAGCTTTGACTCCAAAATTTAAGTTGAAGAACAAGTTACTGGGGAAAAGGATTTCTATTTTTGTTTCCACAGAAAATGAAAAGATGTGGATTCCTTCCAGACTAATGTGGTTTGATCATGCCAGACCGCCTGAAACAGAGTACAAGCTGATCCTACATTCCAAACAACTGGACAAAACAGCCCTACAGACTACAGCTAGGATATCTGAATCTTCTTCGAATCCCCCAAGACAGCGCCCCTTACCAGCAGGAAGTAGTTTGGAAAGAACGACGCCCAAATTCCCAAATATTGTGTATAAATGTTTGTTTTCATTTAATTGGACTTTGTTATATAAAATTAAATAAAAAAAAAAAAGAAAAAAGAAAAAAAAAAAGAACTAGCAAAAAATGAGCATAAGTGAAGGCCGAGCATTCATAACTAATATTGTCTCCATGTCATGATTTGAGAGCTGGTTAGTGGCCCAAAAGAAAGTCAGGTACAAGATCTCCCGGTGGGCAGTATGAACCACTATGTGGGTGCTGGGAACTGAACTCTGGTTATCCGTACAAGAAGCAAGTACTTTTCACAGATGAGCTGTCCTCTAGCCCCAGCTGAGATAGTTTTTAATGTTTAAAATATAACCAAGATCGGTTTCCATGTTTATTTTTTGTCTATGGCCACTGGGTTAAACATAGGATGGCAGTTGGACAATTCAGTTTTATATAATAGAGTATTGTGTTTGGGGATTTAAAAATAACAAGCATGAATGAAAATAATACATAAAATGCACCTAGGAGAAACACTTTGATATAAAGACAATTTATCAATTCTACCTTCTTAGACCTATTATTGGGAACTGAACATGAGTCCTATTTAAGAACATCAAGTGTTCTTAGCTTTAAGCATTTCTCTAGTTTTCTGTTAGTTCCTAGGTTTATTTTTATTTCTCCCAGTTGTTCGTTTTTGTTTTACATGTGTGGATCAACATGTTCCTAGAACTTAGAAAAGAAAAACAGTGCAATTTATTTGATTGGAGGTGGTTCAAGTGATGTCAATAAGCTCAATTAATGTTATTTTATTTTCCTAGTGCCTTAAGTGGCATAGTCAATGTTATGCAAATATACAATTTTCCTGTTACTTCATTTAGAACAGGAATTGACAATAGCTTAAACTAATTGCTTTTCACATATTTGTTCTTGTCCAAAAGACAAAATTATAGCAAACTTTAAGCTCTTAATTTGACTTCCACTTAAAATTCTAGAATCAGGCCATTGTGAGGAACTAGGCAGGTTCAGAGTTTTCTGGAAGTTCATAGTGGTTAGACAGTATACCTAGACCAGAGCCAAATAAATGTAAAAAGCAGCTGAACTATGCACAATTCAGAGCTGCACCCTCCTGGAAGCATCTGACTGTGACTACCTAAGCTCAGTGGCTGAGGTAGACTAAGTCTCAGACTTGTATCAAGCACAGAGGCATCCTCAAGCATAGGCTTCCTTTACCATTCTGATGTTCATGTTTACAGATATTTCACTCTATATGTAACTGCTGTTTTAAAAAGCAAACACATCATGAGAACCACTTCGTTCATGGCATAAAATGATTTGGAAAACAAGTACAGAAGAGAAAATGCTTTGTGCATCACCATCACCCATAAATATATTTGAAATGATAACTGTGACCTATTTTCATTAGGCTTTTGTAAAAGGACACAACTTAAAATGTCTAAGAAGCAATTATATAGAGAGGAAGCCATGACATGGTTTGCTGGGTTCTTCTAGAAATTTCAGGACGCACTCCTTTTATTTTCATTGTGTAAATCTCTTCTCATCAAGCTTATTTAGCTTTTTCCCTACTTTAAAATTTCTACCAAAACAATTTTTATTGATGTCGTAAGCATATGTCATTGGGATGCAAATAGTATTATTCAAGCATATTTACACTGAGTGTTTATCAACTGAGGATATTTAGGGCATCCACAATCTTATCATATTTTATATTTATATTTTATTTTTATTATATAAAATATTATATTTTATATTTAACCTGTTATTCATACATGTATATGTACACATATACATATACATGCATACACAAACATGTACATACACTCATCTATCTATCATCTATATATTAACTATCATCTATACGATTCATATGAAGCTATACCACTTGGGCTGACACTATTTTCCTCAAAAATATCATCTAATAAAATCCCCAGCACTAGGCATGAGTTCAAGAGATTCCCCAAACATTATAGGCTACTGTTGTCTCCTAGTTTTTTCAAAACCTACAGTACTATATTGTCAATTACAGTCACTCTTCTGTGTGCCAGAAAGCTATAATTTATTTCTTCTGTGTGGGTGTGAATTTTGTATCCATTATCAAAACTGTCCCATCCCTCCTTTCACTTTTTCTAGTCAATCTCTGGTGGTTTACTTTTTGAAGGATGCTTTAGTTTAGTCCCTAAAATGTTTTCTGGTGTTTTCTTCATTAATGAACATGGATTTTTATTGAAACAGGTTATTGCATACATTCTTGGAAGCATTTGGATTAGCTCCCCTGTTAAGATGGAATCAAGAGTGAAATCAAGAGCTGAAGATGCAGTTCAATGATATGAGAACCTTCCAAATATGTTCAAGAAGGGCCTGGGTTCAATCTGCAGCATCACAAAACAGAATTAAACCAAGAAATGTTATACATGCTTTTGTTTAGAGCTATGAAATGCAGACTATAGGAAACAATCTTGTTTTCAATCAGACAGAGTGTTTCTTGCAGGAGAAAGGAATCATTATTATATAAGCAAGAAGACATCTCCTTAACCTTGTCATACTTTAGGAGATGTCTACCAGAGCCACAAGTTTGTTATTTCTTCCTACATAGGTGGCCCTGATACTAAAGAAATCAGTTACACTTTAGCAAAAAAGGAATAGGAATAGTAGACACCCAAGTTTCTAATTTTTTGAATTGTTAACAAAACAAAAAACAGAGAGAGAAGGAGGAAGAAGAGGAGAAGGAGATGAAAGAGGAGGAGAAGGAAGAAGAGGAAGAAGAGGAGGAGAAAGAAGAGGAAAAGGGGGGGGGAAGAGAGGAGGAGGAGGAGGGAAAGCAGAAGGAGGAGGAATAGTAAGATGAACTAAAGAGGAAGAGACCAGTGTTTTCAGTCATTTAAGGCTGAGTTTATCCTAAATAGACAGGTACGCCAATTTTCTTCTTAGAAACTAGCTAAGCCACTAAATCGGGTCAGTGGGCTTTTTAGCATTGACTTATTTGCCCCATCCTGGACCTCTGAAGCCCAGGTGCTAAGTGGAGGGTCTCTGTGAGACTCCCTCAGCCTCTGACAGGTACTTCACAATCCCTGGAAGTTGTTAGAATTGGATTCATCCTGATTTATTATTTGCAAAGCTTCAGCTGTTCAGGTCAAACAACTCAAGTCTCACTCCAGGGGCAGTGGGTATGGACAGGGGAGAGGAGGATTGGAGCAGGAGTCACTGTTCTGCCAGTGAAAGTCGGAGAAGGTTCCCTTGGAATTCCACAAATGATCAATGTGAATGATCATGTCATTTACATGGGTTGCTACTGGGGAGTAAACTCAAGTGATCTGTAGACTTAGTTTAATAGTTTAACAAAATAGCACAGATCTTCTCTTCAGTGGAGTGCTATTATTTTATTTTACAAAGCGATAAGAGAAGTAGATATTTTGCAAATTCCTCTTATAGAGTATTGTTTCATATCTTAAAAATCCAAAATGTTTTAAGATTTTCCAAATGCTAATGTGTACATGAAAATGCTAATATATAAAAATTAGTGCTAATATATAAAGACTAGTGATACTCAAACCAGTGATACTCAATCCAGAAATGCTAACATATGAAATTCTAATGTAGAAATATAGAAATGCTAAAATATGAAAACCAGTGATACACAATCCAGAACTTGAACATGTTAAAGAGTAATCTCATTTATTTTGGCTTTAAGTTTTATCATTGAATATTAAAATGAACAAGGGTTGTAAGTGAACTCCAAACGGTTTTCTATTTCAAACCTAATCATATATTCCGCAGTTAAAGTATACATAATGAATTAATCAACTCTGAATTACACTTTTCCAAATATATTGTGGATAAATTTGAGCAAACCTCCACAACACCACTAGATGGCATACAGGCACTACCATTTTGTTGGAAGTCGGTCTCAGTTTTATCATGTTCAGGTCAGGGGAAGTGAACACTATCTATAACTGCATAGGGTTTTCCTACCACTTAACATAATGACACAGCTCAGTGTTTTCTTTTTTCTGCCCTCTTCAAATCTATCCAACAGCTATTTATTGGTATCTGCATTCAAAGGGTCTCCCTTCTTAAAAGAAAATGAAAAAATTGTCTTTATAATTGACAGGTAGCATTTATTTAAATTTTCTGGTAGAAACATAACAGCACAGAATGTCCTTCCTAATCATCTTATATTTCATTGTGTTGCTAATTTATGTTGATAATTTTCATGCGACTACCTCTCAGAGACATAAAAAGGCCCTTTAAAAATTCTGTAACCTTTTGATGTCACTAATCTTCAAAATTCACAGTAACGAAGGCAAAGAACTCTAGGAGACTAAGAAGTTGTTCTACTGTTCATAGCTTTACGCGGTGGAAAAGCCATGCTCCTAACTTCAGTTGCACATAAGAACTAAATGGCTTGTGGTAGTAAAGAATTGTTATTTTTTTCCTGGAACAAATCATGGGAAATTTCTAATTCTCATACTCTGAACTTGAAGACATGTGGAGACAGATCTAGAATGGGTCAACATTTTAATCCAACGAACACCTGGATGGAGCCCAAGACTTACTTGTTCTAAAATGTTCTGAAGCCTTTCTATCTCACAGTCTATTACAAATTTCTTCTCTTGTCTTCTGTCCAGCTCTTCTAGCAGCTGCCTGTAGCTGACATCGTTAAAATTTTCCACACATATTGCACTGACATGCCATCCATTCTGTCCTGCTTTTTCCATAATAGCTTGAAGTATTGAATATCCTATTAGGGAGCAAAAAACAAACAAACAAAAACAGTTAATAAAATCATGCTTTTACCTTATGTGAAGACATTTCTTTTGACTTATTAGAGACTAGATCCACACCAATATATTTTTCATGTTTAAAACACACACAGATTACTCAGATTCTTGAAAATATGAATCATTTTTTTAAGTTTTTCTTTTTTTATTTTTTTGATTCAACGTTTCTCTGTGTAGCTTTTAAACCAGGCTGGCCTGGAACTCAGAGAGATCTGTCTGCCTGTTTCTCCCAAGAGCTTGGATTAAAGGCGTTCACCATCACCAACTGACATTGTTTTCTTTGTTCAGGACAACAAACTCTCTTAAGATTTTGATTGGATGAAGTGGCCTCAGTATACCTTGTGTAAAAATCTCAAAATCCCTCTATTGGAGAATATTCCAATTCTCTAGATATATTTTTGATGAGATAAGGCAGACACCCATTGTACTATTCCCTGTGGCCAATAACAATTTTATGAACCCATTTGTTACTTTACACTCTAAACAGAATTTGTTTGGACAAGGGTTTTAATTCTCCCCATTGAAAGGGTAGTAACATTTTTTTTTTTTTTTTTTGGTTTAACTATGGAAGAAAAGATGTATAAGAAAACAGTAGCATGACATGTATTCAGGCTGTATTACTACTGTCAATCTTATTTCATGATTCAGGCAGACTACACAGGTGTGGCATTATTTAATTAAGCTTTCCTTGTCCTGGCAGAAAAAGGGTATGAACTGGGTACAAGATGAATTGTCAACAGGCGAGGAACTGGAAACACAGATTTATAAGATCATAGAGGAGACGGACATTAAATTTAACTGTGACCAAACTTTTAAAAATGCAAAAGAAATTGCACACGTGTCACATGCCTATATAGTAACAGTTGAGAGGTAGAAGTAAGAGCTCAAGGGCAGCTTCCTGTGCATAAGGAAGCAGTTTAAAGCCAGCCAAGGCTATACAACACCTTGTCTCAAAACCCCAAACAAACAAACAAACAAACAACACTTCTCGAAAGGCTGGTGAGGTGGCTCAACAAGTAAAGGTACTTGCCAACAAAGCCTAGTGAATTGAATTCAGTTCCCAGGTTACACGATGGAAGAAAAGAACGGAGTCCTCCAAATTGTCCTATGTCATTTGCAGGCATTCTCTCTCTCTGTGTCTCTGTGTCTCTGTCTCTCTATCTCTGTATTTCTCTGTCTTTGCTCTCTTGCACGCACGCGCGCGCGCGCGCGCGCACACACACACACACACACACACACACACACACAGTAAACAAGTAAAGATGTAAATTTGAAGTGCAATGGCAGCGGCCCCGGCAGTAGTGCTGGGCACCAGGAGGGCTTGCTGAAGCTAGGGCTTGCTGAAGCTTTCTAGATAAGACAAGGAAAGAGCACCACAGAGAAGTCATTTGCGTTGGGTCCTGAAGGTTGAGAAAATGCAGAATTGTAGGAGATGAGGTGCTGGGACGCACCTGAGAAAAGCCGTGCACCCTGCCCTGTTCCTCACCCAAATTTCTTGCAAGTGGAGGGAGACTATCAGTCCCAACAATGTCTTCATAGCTACTCACCCAGCCCCAGTTTTGAGAGCTAAAGAGGAGTTATAATGTGAGTTATAATTTGAGAGATAAGGAGGAAAATGATTCTTTGAATTGATTAAAAAAAAAAAATCCCTTAAACAAAGATTTGTTAGGATCAGAACCTGTTAGCCACTCAGGGTTACTTTATAGCTTGGTGTGAATAAAATGTTCAGTCTAGTCCCTATAAGACAGTTTAATAGCAGTGTGAGTTCATTCTGTATTTCCTGCGTCTGGCTTCTCCTTCTACAGTTTTTTGAGATAGGCTAGAGAATCGGCACAATTCGAAGGGAAAATTTAAAAGTGAGCACATGGTGCTTAGAAGATAAGAGAGAGAACACTTACTGGGTGGCACATGATTGTCAGGTTTAGGGAGTTTCATTTTAAGGTTCTGTTTTCTCTGTCTCTGAGCCCCAAACATTATGATGTGCAGGCAATGCCAACAGATGGAACTGATGATGAGATCATATCTGAAATATAAATTGCCTGATTTCCTGCCAAGTGAATACAGTGGCAGTCAGAATTCATTTCTATTTTAATGAAAAGAATCCCCAAAGAAGAAAGAGGGCATGCTAATTTCAATATGCTTATTCTGGATATGTATTGCTCCATTTAGTCTTTCCTTTTGCACTTCATACCTGTAACTATCTCTTCATATCTTAGCCTGCCATTGCCCTTCTCCCAGCAGCCTGAGAACCTAGGGCTCTCCTGTTTCCTATTTAGTGAATGTGTAATGCCATAGTGTGGAAGCTTCTCCCCCTTTTTTCCTTCCTTTCCTCTTAAAGCTTTAGGATTTGTTTTTGTATATGAGTGTGTGTTTAAATGGATGCATGTGCATATGCATGTGAGGCTTACAGAGGCCAAAAGAGATCATCAGACCCTAGAGTTAGGTTATTTAGTTGTTAGTAGTTGGATGTGGGTGATAGGAATCAAACCCCTGTCCTCAAGAACAGCGAGTGCTCCTAATGTCTCAGCCTTTCAGCCTTCTCCCCTTCCTGCCTTCCTTCCTTCCTGCCTGCCTGCCTTCCTGCCTTCCTTCCTTCCATTGTCCCTCTCTTTCTGTGTGTGCTATATTTGCGTGTGTGTGTGTGTGTGTGTGTGTGTGTGTGTGTGTGTGTGTGTGTGTACTCACTTTTCACCATTGCATGAGACTGTGGAAGCTAGAAGACATTATAAAGTATTTTTATCACCTTTCCATCTGAATCCGGAGTTTGTCATTTCAGCACTGGTGTCATGCTTCGTATTTATAAGGTACTAAAGATTTAAATTCAGTTTCTCATGTTTGTGAACATTCTCTACGAGCCATCTTTCTAGATCCTGGAAGCCTTTTATTTATTAATATAAGAACTCATAACTATCTTCTTCTGTCCTGGGCTTGCTTTCTGTTCATAACTGAAGCAGGGTTCCTTTTATTTATTTATTGGCACTTATGAATATATTATTTGACTTGGAATGAAGGTGTTAAGAAATGGCAATAAACATCTTATTTTGATTTTTCTCTTTTTACATTTATGACCATATCAAAATAATTCTAAGGATTTTTTTTTAACAAAGTGCTGCAAAATGATAGACATGGACCACAGGCAGTGGAAGCATCTATCTGCTCTCTCAGATTAGTTTACAGCTTGGCTCAGCTCTCTACATGCTGCTGTTACTTGTTAGCATTATGTGACTATCAGGCCTCATGTCACAACAAGGGGTCCATGTTGCTATTTTCCTGCTGACATGGCTTTTACAGGATGCAGAGAAATATTCATTTTGATGAAATTTATAAATCTAGACACTACTGAAGGATTCATACTAATAAAATCCAAAGTCAAGCTTCAAGTGCAGTGTTTCACTGTCAAATTGTTCAGATTTGGAAATGATACTATCAGTGAAATAAGACAAAACCCTAGAACACAATTCTGGTTAAATGTCAAAGAAAGCTGGCCATTGAAAAGGCCCATGAATCACGGTCAGAAATAAATGACATGTTTTCAATGCAGGAGGAAGGGCATCACACAGAGCCTCACTAAAGCTTTCAGTCCTTTTACAAAGCAGTTTCACGTTAGTATCTTGTTCATTATTTACTGGCCCTTAGATACATGTGCCTTTTTTATTTGCCACAATATCGGAGAACATATTGACACTAGGAGAAAATCTTGCATGAGGCTACATGATGTAACTTGCTTGTTATATAAACTAGAAATCACAAGACAGGCTGTACACTTTCTACATCGGACTGTGGTTTAGACCTTCAAAGTGTTCAAAAGTGAATGCTACACTTTTGGATGAATGTCACATAGATAGCAAGAATTCATTACTATAAATAGTATTTTACATGTCACTTCAACTTGAATAGCTAATGTTTTAATTTCATATACATTGTTAAAATTTTCTATGTTCAAGATTTTATAATGTGTAACAAGATCAACTAAGACACACATTGTCTCTTTACAATGAATGTGATATCTACAAAACTCATAATAAGGTAACAGACTATATGTAAAATCATAACATTTTGTAAATAAATCAAAAGTAATCAAAATATTATACACTAAAGTAGGTCACATCCAGGTACACTCACATTATTGGATTACAGTGGATAATCAGCCTTCCCGTACTTATTCAAGAACACTGTGGAGCAATATAAGGCATCTACATCATGGTATCTCATAACCATGATTATGTTAAATAGAATGGCAGCCAGGCTAATGGCCCTATACTGCAGCATGCTGCATCCTTGCACGCCAAATCCTATGTCATCCATGGAAAGTCACCTCAGCAATATTCCTTCTTCACCATGAGTTAGGGTTATTTGATTTTGGCTTTGTAAGACTTACTTCATGTACCTGTCTGTACACAAATCAGCAGGAGGACAAAAGGAGGAATTTATGCCAGAGAGGAAATCAGCTAAAAAAGACAGAAGTTATCTGGATTCTATAAAATGTTTCATCTGGATTAAGACCAGAAAGTGCCTGCTGTGTTTTCAGTGGCGTAGTTATGAACAGGCAGCACAATGCCAGATCCATAAATCATGGTTCAGAGGAGTAGGGCATTGAGGAGAAAAGGGAAGGGGTGAGGACACACAATGCATTAATGACTGTAAGCAGAGTAGCAGGGTTGGAGGATGAAGCAAATGCTACATGTTGAATGTGGGATAGAGAAATGTCTAGGTTATAGAAATGTATGTGTGTGTGTGTGTATGTGCCAGAGAGACAGAGAGAGACAGAAAGACAGAGAGAAAGACAGAGAGAGGCAGAGAGAGAGACAGAGAGAGGCAGAGACAGAGACAGAGAGGTAGACAGACACAGAGAGAAGAGCGCTCTGATTCTTTCCCATAGGTGTTGTTGAGCCTGAAAACGAGTGACGTAAAATGGTAGTCACGTGCCCCTACTCATAGCCATGGTCACTGCTTTATATAC